GTCACCTTGTGCCTGGGTGTCTGGATGACTCCAGCATCTGTAAACTCTGTGGAAAGGGACAGAATTTGGAGACAGAATAAAGAACCTTAATGGAATTATAATTGGAAATATCTAAAAATGCTGATTGTTTATTTCTGGGGACTCACCTGTTCCCAGGAGACAAAGGGCCACACAGCAGAGGAGCCTGGTGGCCATGGCAGGGTGGCGGGGAGGAGGCTTCACCGGATGAGGCCCTTGTGGGCATGAACAGAGGGGCGGGGCATCCTAGTTCCTCTGAGTTCCACAAGGTGGAGAGTGCCCCAACAGTGATATTTATTGCTCTCTGTCACTGCTCATGGGACCTCCTTCCAAAGGTGAGCATTAATTCTCTACAGAAGATTGACTGGACTGGATCATAACTACTTCAGGATGTGGTTGGCTCATTCAAAGCACCTCCCCCAACTGTACCTGTCACAGCCCTGAGCCTCCAGCACTCTGCTGTCCTGATGCATCACAAATCTACTGTCTGCTGGACATTTCCAAGACTGGGTGTGCCACCAGGGCCACAAATTCTGATACCAATACATTACTTTTCAAATCTCAAGACTTTCATTATTCCTCTCATGGGCAATCTCTATCTCCCAGACACAAAATCAAAATAATTCCTTGCTTAATTAGGGCTTTGCCTCAGATTCCTCCCAGAAGCATTTTGACGGGGCCACTACGCTCTTTGGGAAGAGACCTAAATGGAAGTGCTGGGAAGAGACAGGATTGTGAAGATATTATTCCTAGTGAAGGCTAGAGACCGATGCCCTCGTGCTGTGTGATTTCCCCCAGCCCACAGCACAGCGCTTCCTGTAACTGCATTTCTATACGTAAGGGATGCCATTTTACTTCTCTGTGGTGAAGCTCAAAATTGTGTTAATCCTTCAGGCACTGGTATGGATTGTATATGATAAATGAGAGCTTTAGCTCTCCTTGAAAATCCACAATAAAGTACTCCCCAGTTAATCCTGATCTTCTGATGCCTAGCAAAGCTCTACAAGGTTCTTCAATGATTAACACCTGACTCTCTCCCTCTACTAAGGTAACTAATACTTACAAACTCTTTTGGAGGTGGGGATGGAAATCTGGAAAATGACCTGTTTCTTGGGGTATGAATAGTAATGATTTTTGTCCATAGAGAAGATGGAACACATTAGCTCCATGTTTCCGCTGTTGGTGCAGAGCTATACTCCTCCAGGTTCCCAAGCTGGGAGTCTTTCAAGATGAGTGAAAAAGGTATGATTAGCCACTTGGAAGTTATGATAGTAACACTTTTTTTTTAAGATTTTATTTATTTATTTGACAGAGAGAGAGATAGCAAGAGCAGGAACACAAGCAAGGGGAGCGGGAGAGGGAGAAGCAGGCTTCCTGCCGATGGCGGGGTTCGATCCCAGGAACCTGGGACCATGACCTGAGCTGAAGGCAGATGCTTAATGACTGAACCACCCAGGCCCACCAACACTTCCCTAACAGTAGAGAATCAGCAGTGCTCACTCCCCAGTCCTGTGTTTACCTGTTTCAGGGTAGCATCCTGCAGCCCGTGGGTGAAGAAGGCAGAGCTGCTTACAGAGTTTAGGAAGCACAATATTAACAGAGATACATGGAAAGCACCCTGAAATCAGGGCATAGCATTCCAGCAGGAATTTTCTTACCCCTGTCCAGGATCTATCTCCTCCAGGATACACAAGATCATAAAACAGAGAACCTTCGAACATGTAACAAGTTCAGAAAGTGAGTGGGCTGACTCCTTCCTCAGTACTCTGATCTTTAGTTGAAAGAGAAGTCAGACTTAAAGCCACTCTAGGCCCTGGTGATGTTAATGTATTTATGGACTTCTGAAGGTTCAGAGCTGCTCTGACTTAGAATATAATCGGGCTGTCCTCAGAGCGCTGCCTTAACCCCCTGGCCTACCCCATCCCCCTCAGTAGGATGGGACCAGGTTGGGATTCCAACAGCTTCTCTGATGTTCCTGGCTCGGTAGCTATTTTGTTTTGCTTCTATCAGGACACACAGTTTTATCCAAGCAGCCCCCAGCCCCCAAAATCCTGTGCTTGCTCAGAGGTGCCCACAGGGCATAGACAGATGGCCTTGAGGGCTCATTTCCTAAATCTTCTCAGCAACTTAGCCGAAAGCTGGCTCAGTGATCTATATTAACTTAGAGAAGAGCAAGATCCTCTTTTCTATCAAGACACTTCTACTGGGAAGGGGCTTCCATTATTACGTAGTCACAGAAACGTGCCCCACCCCGGGCTCCTGTCCCAGGGCAGGGCAGGGGCCCATTCCATAGAAAATTGGCCCGGAGCTCTGCAGTCCATCTTTGACCCACATAAACGCACACCTCTGTGTGTTCACAGGACTTAGGTTGGGGATCGTGTGCTTGTTTGCTTCTGCATGTGTCTATTTTTCCCATAACACACACAAAAACTATCTCAGTTTGGACTGATGGTGCTACTGTGGTGTGTATATGTGGCCCCGTTGCCTGGCAACCATTCTATGCTTGCCTGCAGTTTCAAGCTCCCTATTGGTCTTAACCCATTTGCACAAGAATAGAAGTCTTTGGGTGCTTCCCTTCTCTCTCCAACATTCACCCAGTGTCTGCAAATCAAGGTCATGATTCAGCCATCAAGCCAGAGCTTCTCACTAAGGCCCACGGCCAGGCGACTCTCCCAGCTTCTCCCCAGAGCCGCTGAGTGGTAACGGAACCAGTGTCTCCTGGTGGCCAGTGGGCTAAGAGCCAAAAAAGGAAATGAGCCTTTTTTGTCAAGACCCAAAGTGCCCTATGCTGTGTTACATGGGTATAGGTGCAGAGGGGAGCTGCAGATGTTGGTATTCTAGGGGCTCAAAAATAATAACCCCTGTTTCTAAGACTGAAAACATTTGAGAGAGAGAGATATTGAAGTCAGAGAAACTGGAATCCAAATGGCAGCTTTGGTGCTGGTGAAGGTGGGGCTGAAAGGTGCAGCTTCAACAGCATTCCTCTGAATTGAATGGCCAACCCCCCTGACTTCCCTACTGAAGAGAGTCTGCCTACTGATTTTACTGTAATTTCAAGGCAGGAGAACAGAAAGTGTCTTCCCCAGATGCAGACAAATACAAAGATACAAGCTGGAGGGTGTGATCTGAGCCTGTTTGGTTCCTTCCTTTCAAAAGTCACAATCAGCTAACTCCGCTCTCCTGCTACAGAGAAGAGAGAGGGGATGGGTGGTGGCAGCTCTGGAGGACCGCCCCCATGAAACAGAGTGGTGAATAATATTGTATGCAAGTGTTGCACTTGTGAGCAGAAAGAGATGAGCATCTGTTAGGACAGTTCTGCTCCCACCTGGAGACATCTCCTCCAATATCATTACTGCTCTTTTGGACACCCCTTGGAACAACAGTTGTGCAATTAAGCAGGGTCTCAGAAGATATGAAATGATTCAGAACAGTATAGTAATTAACTCCAAGTCCACACTGGCTGAAAAACTGAGAATTAGCTATTCTCCCTTCCCTCCCCAATCTGTCCGGCCATATTTCCCATGACGACAAAATAGAGGATCAATGCCAAAATGAAATGACATCATAATGAACTACCAATAATAAAATACCAACACCCAGCGATGCCCTGAATCTGAATCTGTATTACCTTCATTATAAATTTCCTTGTAAGCATCCAGGAAAGTCCAATTCCATTTCTTTTTTTTATCAACTGACTCTCTTTGCTCAAATATGGAATGTTCCAGGCCTTGAACCATATTTATTCCTACTCTAGCTTTTTAGTTCTACAAGAATGATGCAAATGTAATCATTTTATTTCCCTTTGCTCTTACCTCATTCTTTAAGAAAGATTAGGTTGAATTTCCAAAAGTAGAAAATGCTTTTAAAATTCATCCTGTTCTGTCTCAAACATAGTAATGTTAGTAATAATCACTGGAACTAAATTTTTAAATTTTATGTTTGCATCCTGATCCACGTCATGAATCTTTGTAATATAGTCTCAAAGGTTATCTCTGTGATCCTCCCCAGTGAGAGATGTCACATTTGTGACATCTGGGTCTTCTAAGACAAGCACTGTGAAAACAAATATTGCATATCTTCAAATTCCTCTGCTAATTCCTTCTACAAGGTATTCTCATTGTTTTGCCTGCTTCCTCATTAATTTGCCCCATTTTTCCTAAGCCGTTCCTAAGATTCATAATTTTATAAATATATTTATATATTGTATCTGTAATAGGCAAGCTCTTGTAAGGCACAGGCTATAGCTGACACTCTGAATAATTTCAGTATTTTCAACGGATCTTTCTAAGCATTCCCCTGTCAAAACTGTCCAGACCGTACGTAGCCGTTTTTACAGGTGTGGTTCTGAAGGCCACTCTCATCTTTTGGGGAGGCGTTCCAGTGGAATGAATCCTCTGAGATCCTGCATGGTTTCCTCTATTAGACTTCTCGGGGTCCAGTTATCTGATCTGCCTTAGTATCAAGAAAACATCTCTCTTCTCTAGTAGCTCCTTTGAGAGCAACTGAACCCAATGCTTCTCTTCTTCCCTTTAAATCTGTCTTTCCTGGCCCTCAGGATCCCTTTTCCTTTCACATGAGAATACGAAGTCTTCTAAGATTTTAGCACTTCTCCCAAGGAAATCTCCTTCTTCCTCCAATTGAGTAAATCTGCATTTTAAATTTTGTTTGCAGTAGTTTGTAAATGCTTAAAAAGAATCCGGTCCCAAATTTCTTGTGTCTGATTCCCATTTCCATCATTTCTTAGCTATATGACTTTTGGAAAATTATATATCTTTCTTCTTCTTCAATTTCCTTGTCTGTAGAATGGAGTACTAATTGAATGTTTTCAGCTTCTAGCAGGAATATAGTAAGAACCATATAAGAACTTTCTACTATAAATAGTTTTCCTTTGTTCCTATCCTGATGGCAAAGAGAAAGGACAGTGTGCAATGTTTCATCCATGCTCTTAGCACATGAAACTCTCTGTGACATTTTGTTCCAGCCACAAGAGCTCTTTTATTTGTCCTCTAAGCTTTTGCAATAATTATGTTGATTGATTTTGGGTCTTTGTGTGTACATGATCTAACTTATTTCTCCCTGAGAGTCCTCCTAATTACTTTTTCTTCAAGAGAGAGGGTCTGGCCAGTTTATGCCTGCTCTCATGTACAATAAATTATTTCTGTCTGGGAGTTCACCAATTACTGATAGTTCACACTCTTTGACTTTCAAGAAGACTCTTGGAAATATAAATTCTCCCATGACAGGCCACGTAATGAGACTATTTCAATAGGTATGTTCTCACTTCTGAAAGACTCAGTATTAGATTTGACCTTGCATTTTTAATCTCTTAACAGTAAATGGGAAGGTTGTCATCAACCAGGATCTCAAAAAATATCCAAACACGAGTAGCTGCCATTTTATAGCGCTCTGTATGATGGAGAGCCCATGCCTACAGCTGCGTCATCCAAAATACATATTCTGCGCTTGAATTGAGGAGTAGGGATGGGAAGAGATCTATTACTAAACCCAAATAAATCTGTTGGATATTATAGATACCTAATTCAAATAATCTACACAGAACTGCAGAGACCATGGTCTGTTCAACTCCTAATGAGATATAGCTCTGATCACTGACACTGAACAAAGTGCAACATTTGGCCACTTAGTTTTAGATTATTTAAACAGAGAAAAATTATGGCACATAAAGTCAAGACCCTCTTTACTACCCCCTTTGGTTCTTTCTTTCCCTCCATGATATAACCATTATTTTGGGGTCAGTGAATCTTTCTCCTGCTTTTGCTTTTACACTTTTGTTTGCATATGGCTTTTATCCACAACCACCGTCAAAATACATGGCTATATGTGTTGAAAGCCTTTATGTACTTTCCATGGATTAACTTATCTCTAAAAAAATACCACGAGGCTCTTATAATGATTATTCCTGCTTTAAAGATGAGAAAATTGAAAAGATGAGCGATGAAGTAATTGTGCCCACGGTAACATATTTAATAAATGTATAAACTGTGTGATGATTAGGTCACACAGGTCATATGTGTCCAGGAGGCGGGTTTTAGAGCAGGCGAAGAAAAGGGTCTGGGAGCAGCAGGGAAGAGCCAGGCCGAAGAACACACTGAAATCAGACACGGAAGCAGGTTCTGTCCCACCGTAAACATGACAGAAACTGAATCTGATCTTTCAGTTTCCATCTTGAAAAGCAGGACCCCAGAATGGCAAAAAATGGGAGAATGACAAGTGGAATTTGGCTGTATGGCAGAACTCATTGAACCCGAATCTCCTTGGGCAGTCAGAATTCAGGCTTCTCTGCACCAATTGCCAGAGATGCCCCGATAAGGGCTGAGAAGGGTTCAGTACCTAAAATAAGACCGTGGGGAAGAGTAATTATAACCATTCAGAATGGATTGCAGAATGGAATGGAAGTGTCTAGCATAAGTCAGAAGAAGAATATAGGTTCAGGATGTAGGATCAGGGGGAAAGAGAGCAAAGTAAGTGTGTATAGGTCTGCACACTTGTAGATACTCAGTGTGGAGCCTGTTTTTATTGTCCCAGGGCAGGCAGCCAAAGAGGCCCTACCAGCCCTGAGTCCCACACAGCCTTTGGCTGGCACTGGCCTCTGCTGTCTATCCTCAGGCAGGCCAGGACTCTCCTCAGGCAGGACAGAGACTGATGAACCCCAAGATTCCAGGAGTGGTAGCTGGTGGCTCATGGAATAAACTGTCTGCTTTGCCCGTATCTGAGATGCTCTTTGAACAGAATGAAAAGGCCCCACATAAACATTAAGTTACATTAACCTTAGA